CTTAGGATTTTGAGGTTGTCGTTTGTCACGACCTAAACCCTCACATCTTCCAGGCTATTTGTGTGATCATTTCACACGAATGTAAGCCCTAAATAATAAAATTGGCAGGATGAAACATTTAAATATTTCTCCTCAAAATTGAAGCCAAACATTAGGATAGCTTGGGAAGTCACCGAGGTTCTCCTCTGGATCCATGACAACCCCTAGTTCTTCTTCCTTTGGATTCTACAATAAAATGTTCCAAATTTAAACCAATCCCCTTTCACACCTCTATGTCAGATTTTCGTTGAAAAGTCCTACTCTTTAAAATTCCTTGAAGATAATATTTCTTGATTTTTATCGAGAGTCTTCTTAGGTGACTTTGGTCATTTAGGATGTAATTAACTATAGGGGCTTGTCCTTATAGGAAGCATGTCCGAACCCAGCTTAATATAAACCCTATTTAATACTTTATATTAAATAGAGGTTTGCAGACCAAATGGACGTCATACTTTCCTTAGTTTATTTGAACGAGCCTCATCCTCAATTCTTGTATTTATCCTTCGGGATAGATACAGGATTTGAGGTACAATGCTCTTTCATTTTAAATTATGAAAACTATGGGGTCAGTTTGATTTCATACTTCAACGTCCTTCCGAAGCGGGCGACGGGATTTCGATTCTGATGACCGACAGCTTCTTACGGGCAACCTCACAAACCATCCCCGAAATAACGCCGACACTCACATAAATAATTTTGAAAATCCAGGTCAACAGACTTAATAAAATAAATAACAAGTTTGTTTTTATTAAATCTCACATTAATAAATTTATTAAAAATATCAAAAATATTCTTGAGATTGTTAATAACAATAATATCATCTTTACAAAAAATTAACAAATCATCAACATAAATAAGATGAGAAATATTGCAGTTATTAATACCATTAGAAATACTAGAATTGGAATGATGAGGTTCAATAAGGCAAAAATAAGCATCTATTTGGTTAAAAATAAGGTGAAAGATGACACCCTTATCTAATAACATTGGAAAAAGTAAAATAACTCATCAAATCCTTATTAATGATAGCAGAAAAGTAAAAATTAGAGATACAAGCCTTAATTCAATTAGTGAAGAAAATAGGAAAACCAAAGCTAGTAAGTTTATCAAAAAAAAATTAACAGTTAACACTATAAAAAAAACATTTTTAACATCAATTTGGCAGAAACTTCTATAAGCCATTGAAGAGTTGAATTCAAATAGAAGTTTCATTTGCAAAAAAAAAATATTATCAGTGATATTATGACCTAATATGAAAGCCGCTTAAGAAGGATGAATAATGATTGGAAGTAAACTTTTAAGTCTATTGGCAATAAAATTAGAAATTACTTTATAAATAGTATTGCAAAGAAAAATATGTCTACAATTAGAAAAAGATTGAGCTAATTATTTTATGAATAAGTGTGATAGTAATATGATTAATTTTAAAAGGAAGTTTACCGAAGTGAAAAAAATATTTAATAGTAGATATACAATTAGTTTCAATAATATTCTAAGAATACTTTAACAATTTGTAATAAAACCTTAGGACTATGAGTTTTATTAGATCCAATAGAGAAAAAAAACCTAATTTCCTCATTAGGAAAGTATTTAATGAGATCCAAACAATTATTATTATTTAAAGCGTGCTTAACAAGACAAAGATTTGAGTCATACAAAAAATTTGGAATAGAGCAAATGAAATTTTAGATAAATAAGAAATAGCTTCTCTAGAAAGATTTTCTTGAGAATTAACGAGTTATTAGCATAAATCTTCATTATAAATTTTTTGCAACCATTACATTTAATTTCTTAATATAAAAATTAAACATCATTCTCATGTTTATAAGCTAAGAGCATTTTTAGCACTTCATTTCAACCACATGTATTCACAATGTAAAGCATTATGTCACGGACAAATAGTCCCACATCGGCTAGGTGTAGGGCCGAAAAGCAGTATTTAAGTCCTGGGCTGCCCACCACCCATAAGGGCTCTTTTGGGAGGAGGTGACAAGTGGTATCAGAGCAGATTACTGCCTACCATGTGTGTGGACTCTCCATGGTCCAGTGGGACCCTCGGTGGAGCCGATCCGTGACGAGGGCGTCACGTGATTGGGTGGAGGAGAATGTCACGGACAAATAGTCCCACATCGGCTAGGTGTAGGGCCGAAAAGCAGTATTTAAGTCCTGGGCTGCCCACCACCCATAAGGGCTCTTTTGGGAGGTGACAATTAGCTAACTAAGATTGAATAACAGCCATCTCCTCCAATAAAGAAATATCAATTGAAATTTTATCAAATTGAGACATGACCACTAATTATTGATTCTTTAAAAACTTAATAATATTGGAAATAAAATTGATAGAATTTCAAATATAATTTTCAATGCAATTTTGAAAATTTTCAACTTATTACGAAGGAAAAAGAAAGGATCTCCCTTTTACTTTTAAATCCCAAGAAGAATTTGCAATTGAAATAAAATTATGACATGAACTCCAATAATTTTTATAAATAAATCTACTAGCAAGTTTCTGAGGATACCAAAACAAATCACAATAGGAGAATCATCATAAAGAAAAAAGTTTCAAAATCTTAAAAGAAGAAGTAAGAATTTGTTCCATCCAAATATCATTGCAAAAGGCTCTGTCGAGTAAACTTCTTGTAACAAATTCTTTTTCTTAATTAATATAGCTAAAAGAAAGATCATTGTAAGGAAGTTTGATAAGTCTAGTGTTAAACTGAAGTTATTAAAATAAACCAATTTACTAGGAATAGGAGAAGTGCCACCACTTTTCTCTTTAATATTTCTTATGCAATTAAAATCACCCAAGAAGATTTAAGATATATGAATGTTATTAATGAAATAGGAAAGAAAACAACAATAATTGTTTCTACGAACAACACTATTATCTGCATACATAAAATTAACATTAAACTTAAAAATCAAAGAAAATGAAATCATACCTTGCATAACTGAGCATTAATATCCAAAACCATAAAATTCATCTTGAAAAGATTCAATTTAATCAAAGTTCTACTGTTATCCACCAAATGAAAATTTTTGACAAAATTCTCAAAAAAATATTTAAATGTTTGGAAAAAAAGGGATCAGTAAAACTAGAATGAGAAATTTTAATTTCCAATAAACAAAGAGGATCCGATCCAAATCCTTAATAAGCTGCCCACAAACAGAAATGTAAGTATGATTATAAAGATTCCTGGCATTCCAACTAAAATTTTTTGAGAAAAGCATATTAAAAAATAGAAAAAAAATAGAAAACAATAGAAAATAGAAATAAAACTAAACTTAATGAAAAGCACAAGCTCCTCTAGTCCTACCTTTTCTAAGCCTAAGGATAAAAGAGGCGCAACATTATTTGCAACACCAAGTCTCACAGAACCAGCCATATGAGATGACAAGTTATTGGCAATATTACCTCTATTATTATCATTCAAAGAGGATGTATCAGATTGTATATTTCTAATAGTGATATGAAAAAAATTAAGAAATGAAGCATCCAAATTAGAACTAATACATTATCTATAAGTAAATCCACTTGAATACATATAGCTAAATCTTTAACATCAATAATATAATGATTGGGACAACCACTGTACAGAAATAATTAAATTATCATTAACAGGATGAAATTCACCTTTTTATCTCCCAAAATCTAATTTATCTCAGAATGGACAAGAATATCAAGATCGGGAGCCCCATCACTAACAAGATTAGAAACAAAAATAACATTATTCCTAACACCACTTTCAACATTTAGAGGAATAAAAACAGGTAAAACAAAACTACCAACAATATGAGAAACATGAACATCATTATTCTTAATAGAATTCCTTTTATTCATTATATTATTACCCCCAAATGTAGGAAACACTTTAGTCAGGATTAAAGAAACATTCTTAATATTAAGAGTAGTAAACTCAAGTAATTAAAAATCCATATTCACTTTAATTATTACACGTGCAAAATAAAGTTTAGAAACTTTTTAAAGAATCAACAGCATAAGGAAAACAAACTCAAATTGGAATGTCTTTAAAATCCTCATTTAATGGTTAAAAGTTACGAGTCCATCTTTTAAAAATAAAGGGTTTAACATAAATAAACCAAGAAGCAGTCGAAAGAACCATATCAAGATCTTTCATGCAATTGAAATTGAAAAGAAAAAAAAAACCCTCTGTGTGGAGAAGTACAAGCGAATCTTTGAGTTTTCACATTTTAACATGCACTTGTAAGAGATTGTCAAATAGAAGACTCTTATCCAACGAAAAACCAACCAGCACCATGTTCCACTGCTTAGAATCATCTTCAATTTCTTCATAAAAAAGAATGACTTTCTCTTCCACAGAAGGTATATTAAACAAATTAAAAGGAGAGGCGTTAGAAATATGAGAAGAAATTATGTTTTTCCAACTCATAGAAGTAGATGCATCTGGTAAAGATTCTAGAAAAAGAGGGAAGATGAGGAAACAAACGTGAATCCATGAGCAAATGAAGGTTGAAAACCCAAAAATAACGAATGCACCACGAGAGAGAGATATTAAAAGAAATCCTAATTTTTCTTTCCCGAGAAGAGGAAAAATAAGAAGAGAAGAGAAACACAATGATTGAGAAATAGAACGGTAAAACTAAAAGAGAAATAGAAAATAAACCTCATAAAACTTATTCCCCAAGAAGAGGAACATGAGCAAGAAGAAAAATGAAAAAAATAATCTTAGAAAAGGATCTAGAGAGGAATAGTACATTTGAATAAACCAATATTGAAGCAAATCGTAGGAAAACTTTCCTCAAAAAGGAAAGAGAAAACCTCGAAGAAAATCCTACAATAACCTCTCAAAACTCCTTAGCTTCTAGTAGCTCCTTCCTGGAAACTTGAGTAAAATATAAAAAAAAAATTTCTCATAAAATTAAATACCAAACTCAAGGTTGAACAGTAATCATCACGTGCTTCCTACGTAACCAGCTCATACCGGTCATCTTTCTATGAGATCGGCTGATTTGACGGCAGAAGTGGCAACTGCCATTTGGCGCGAACTACCACCAACTTAAGGATTTCTACGTCTCTTTCCCTCTCCCTCTCAATTTGACGTCCGAAGACGGGAGCCGCTGATCTACTTCGATACACCCCTTTCACCTGCCCAACTACCAACTAAAACCACTCAAAACTATTAATTCTATTAGGGAATAATTTTCGTCAAAAAAGGTGGACGTCACCTCTCCAATTTCCCGTTCTCCCTCAGATCTCACGGTATTTGGAAAAAAGGGGCGAGAAAACCCTATTCCTGCTTTCTATTGACATCCGATCGATAACTTTTTTTCTGCTGATCGACCATCTCAGGTCTGTTCGATCCTGTTTCTGAGCTTTTAGCGTTTCATCTTTCACTTCTCTGCTTGTTTGGCTTCCTTAATGTTTGCCCGTGAGGCGTTTGTCATACAAAGCTCATTCCTATTGCCCAGCAAAAGTTTGATTATATTTTAATGGGATTCTTGGGTTTATGACTTGCTTTTTGTACTGCTTGTTGATTTTGGGGTTCTTCTGATGACGAGTAATAGTGTCAGTATTGTGGCAGTTTGGTGCGTTATGCTTGGCCTTTGCTGATGTTATGTTTTATTGAGCTTATAGAAGGGGCTTTGTGATTCTTGGCGTTTAATGTAGTTTGGCTCTTGGTAGTTCAATGGGACTTTAGATGGTACTTAATGGCTACTAGCTAGTAAGAAGAGTTATAGCGTCGCTTCTTATCATTCCATATAAGCCTGAACTTCAATTGAATAGAATTGAGATGTGGCCTGGCATAATTTTTCTTAAATTTGTTCAATTGAATCTGAAAGTTTATGGTCTTGTAGAAGAAGGATCCATAAATAAATTCAATTTGTTGTGTGTTGAGAGTATGACTTAAGGGTTTGTAAAGTGCTTTGATCATCAAAATGCAGTGATGCTAGCCTTTTGAAGTACCGAGAGGCTTTTCCAGTTTCTCAGCCTTATCTACCAAATTGGGATCAGCGAGCTACCGAGTATGTGCCATCGTTTACAAGCTAACTAGTATGAGCTGACGAGGACGATGTACCGAACAGGAACCACCAAGTGCAGACAGTCTGGTGGATGCTTCCCTCAATGGGTCAAGCCAAAGGGAAAATCTGTTTGACGATGCTGCCTAAAGTCACCTCACCACCTCAGATCGATCTAGCTAGAGAAAGGCCAACCAGCTCCTAGAGGGATTGGCATTAATGCTATCTCCCAGAATAGACTGAACATTTTGACAGAGATGTGATCTGATGAGTGCGCCGGGAATGAAAATTGAAATGTGGCACCGTCTGAGGATAATGCTTCAAGGATAATATTATTTATATTATTATCAAAATAAAACAAAGGAGAACAATCGAAGATCTCTAGAGATATAATTGTAATCATCATTTATGTATATTTTATAGGAAAAATTCTCTTATATAATTCATGTAGAATACTATTAGATTATTTGTATAAATAGATATTATATTTTGTATGAATGAGAATTGAGTGGTGTAATAAAATATGTTCAATAATGAAGGAACCGAAATGAAGGCCAAAGAACAATTAAATTTTCAAGCAAATGAAATCAAAATTATAATTACAAGAGTTCAAGAAATTGCCAGCCCATCACAACACCCAATCGAAAAAAACATTTGACTTTATATTTTATTTTCTTAAAATTGTAATTTTAATTTCTACAAATTTTAAAATTTGAAACTTAAAGACTTATATGGGCTAATCATAACAAAATTAATTTGGAATCAGTTGACACCTTCCTCTGTTAATAACCACCTACCTTTCTATTCATAATTTTTTGTTTATTTAAATTTTTTTAATCATTATAATCTATATAAATATGATTGAAATGTAATGATTATTATTTGTGGAGTCTAATTGTAGCACCCATGAGCAGCATACAGGCTGGCTTCCACATAGTGAATGCACCCAACACCAAGGCGCCGAGCTAAGGGCGCTTAAGCGCCCATTGAGTATTCCCAGACTGAGAAGGCAGAAATCCTGTAGCCAAAGTGGGCACTTAGGCGTCCACTTCTGGTGTTGGGGTGCTTGCTTCTGGAGAGCTAGGGGCCCAAGAGCCCAAATTCTCAACCGGAGCAGTTTTCACAAGAACTGTTACTTATGTCAGCATATGTACGGGCTTGGAGCGTAACAATTCTTGTTTGTTCATCAATAAAATCCTGTTCCAGGTAAGAAGCGTTGGTGAGAAGGATTCTAGTGTTTTACGATGTACGTTTCTGCATCAGATCAGTAGGAAGTGTGTGGAGTTGTGCACTGTAGTTCTCCGTGTGAGTGTGGATAATAAAACTTGTGTGAATCCTTTATAATACTCTCTAAAATTCGTAGTAAAATTTGTGGTGGTGTGTTTCTGTGGTTTTTTTTTTGTTCTCGGATTTTTCCACGTAACATTCTTGCGTTCTATTCTGGTTGTTTTTTTATTTTGATTCTGTGCTTAAATTTATTATTCCAATTTTCTCGAATCCTGTGATCCAATTCCATGGTGAAATTAGGAGATTCTTTTAGAGTACTTTCTTCTAACAAACTAGTATCAGAGGTCTGTCTGATTTGAGTGCGAGCAATGACCGAAGAAGCAAGGTTCAAGGTGGAGAAGTTCAATAGGATGAACTTCACATTTCGGAAGATGCAAGTGGAGGATTTGTTGTATCAGAAAAAATTGTACTTGCCACTACAAGGAATAACAAGAAGCTTGAGTCTATGCCTATGACAGAATGGTAAGTGTTAGATCGAACGACACTGGGTTTGATCAGGTTAACACTTTTCTCATCCGTTGCGTTCAACATTGTGAATGAGAAAACTATGGTGGATCTCATTAGCCAAGATGTACATAAACATAAAGATGGTGGAAGACAGTTTAGTGATAGAGTATCTCAATAACTTCAACACTGTGATGAGCCAGTTAGTGTTACGATCAAGTTTGATGATAAGCTCAGAGCAAAGTTGATACTATCTTCTTTGCTAGAAAGATGGGATGGTTTGGTAATGACCATAAGTAATTCTCAAGGAACTTTAAAGTTGAACTTTGATGATGTCATGGATTTGATCCTGAATTAAGTAAGTTAACAAAAAAGTAGAGAATGATGAATCTTCAGGTTCAGCGTTGAATGCTGATAATAGGGAAAATAATCTGGGCAGGAATATAAGCAGAGGTGGATCCAAGTCCAAGAAAGTATAACCCAAGTCAAGCAGAGGAATGCTGGAACTACGGTAAGATTGGGTATTTCAAGAAAGACTGCAAAGCTCCAAGGCAAGCTAATGGTGGAGGACACGATAGTAGTTTCTTTACTAATGTCTCAACTGGTGAAATCCAAAATGACTCTCTGGTGTTATCTTTAGTCAGTACTAAATCCTGGATAATGGATTTAGGTGTCGCTTTTAGCTTGCCCCAATAAAAATGTATTTAAAAACTACACTCATGAGGATCTAAGGAAAGTTTATTTGGGAGATAATAAGACCTGTAGTACAATAGGAAAACATGATGTTGATATCAAGTTGCCGAATGAAATAGTCCGGAAACTTACTAATGTCAGACTTATTCCTTGTTTGAAGAGAAATCCCATCTTTGTGAACCAGATGTCACGTGATCACTTTCACAGGTGATTCTTGAAAGGTGATTAAGGGTTATTATTGATGGCTTGGGGCAACATTAACTGCATCCTTTATTTGATTAATGAAATGGATGATTTCATCGATACGACTAGAATCAGGGTTGATGCAGTTTTATGGCATCGTAGGCTTGGCCATATAAGCAAGAAAGATTTGATTTCTTTCAAAAAATAAGCTTCAGGGTTTGAAATCAGTCGATCTAGATTTTTGTGAAGACTGTATTTAGGCAAACAGAATAAAGCTTCTTTCTCCAAGAGTGGGTCAATGGTGAAGTCAAAAGAAAATTGAGTTATTGAATACCAATGTATGGGGTTCTACTTCAGTTTAGAACATTAACATAATGAAATTAAACTTTCTCGAATCATGTGATCTTATTTTACTTAACAATGCCTTATATTAGTTTTTGAATGAAATTTTTGAGCAAAAATTTCTTTTTTTTCTTGTTATTTGGTGGCTTCAAGTGTGTGCCTTTTCTTTTGTAGGATTAGATACCTATCATTGCTGTATTTTTTAATTTCATTATGTTATTAACGCGGGACTTAGGAGGTCCGAACTAGTTGGTTCAGTTAAACCAGTTCAACCCTCTGTTGCTTGGACCAACCGATCCAAGGGGCTGCATTTACTGCCCAAGTGGAGGGGCCTCCCCCTCCTTACCTATCTACTATTATAAATAGGTTACTTGTTGTGTTTAGGGTTGGTTGTTCTAAGTTTGAGTTGTGATTTCTGTTGGGACAGTCAGGCAGTGAGCATTCCCGTCTCTTCTACCTCACAACTACCCTTATCTCCTACACATCCCCTTATACAACTGCACCTCACATCCCTTCTTCCATTCACCAACCCTGGCCCTTCTTCTCTCTCTTGTGACCATCCACAGTCAGGTTCACTCTCCTCTACTGCAAGCCAATTGCAGCACCTCAACCTACATTGCCTTGACTGCCACAGCCACAACCTGCACCCCTCCTATTGTGCAGTCGCCATCCAACTTTTTGCTGTCACCCTAATGTGCCTTTTGTTGTTTGTTTTTTGTTTATTTTCTATTATGAAGAGCCTTGGTTGCAACCTATTTAAATTTTAGCAATATTATTTTCATTTTCTATTGTGGTTTGGGTTCACTCCGGTATCATTTAGGTTATGAAGTCAAAGCTCTCCCAACCACAGTAAACTGACGCAAGGCCAGGAGAGCTGAACCAGTTGGTTCAACTGAACCGGTGCAACACTACTGATGCTTGGACCGGTAGGTCCAATGGGGCTGGTTTTATCACTCAAATGGACCTCCCCCTTCTTACCTATCTACTATTATAAATAGGTTATTTGGTTTTTTTATGGATAGTTTTCTGAGTTTGAGTTCTGATGTCTATTGGGAAAGCCGTAACGTCCTCATTTTTCTTTTGAGGGTTGTATCTGACGACAAGCAGGTGTTCCGACCGTAACTCGTTTGAGGTGGTGTCTATCTTCCCTTTCCTTGCTTGTTACCGCCACTCCGATAACCTACGGTCGTCGATTCCCACCCCTTTCTGCTTTTAGTCGCACCCTTTAGCACCCCATTTCTCCTTGTCTTACTGCTACCAGGGTTTCCTCACCCATCTCATTATCCCGCCCGCTCCCACTACATCTCTAGCTACAGCTAAACACCTGAGTTGCTGCAGTTCCCCCTTCCAACCCTCCTACAACCTTCCACTATCTAATCCCATATTCCATAACACCTACTACCAACCGACCATTCAACTTTCCCGTCTCTTCCACCTCACAGCCACCTCTATCACCTACTGTCCCCTTATACAGTTGTATCTCCCATCCCCTTTGGCATTCACTGTCAGGTCTACTCACCGCTCACATCGTATATATTTTCCTTATTCTCTTATCAAATATCTATTACATAGCTTCTCATTGCTCAAAAGTAACATAAGATTTTCTTTTCAAAATAATCATTTAATTTGTGCTAACCTTTAGTTTGGTGACTGGTTTACCACTATTAATTGATTAGATTAGATATAAAACTCCTTCAAACTTAACTATCTACTACAAATTATAACTTCACATTCTAACAACTACTCATATGAATCTCCAGTCATTTACTTAACTTTAAACCACTTTTCTAAATAGATCCTCAAACTTAGTCGAACTAGTCTAAGAATTTTAATCACTATACCATACAAAACAACTACATATCCCATAAATAACTCTAGATATCAGTTTTAGATGTTGAACTAAAGATTCAAGGCCTTTACTATGCTTTAGTCTCACCAAAACAGTCACCCATCACCATCAATAAGGGGAGAAATGGTGTAACAAAGGTGGGCCTTGAGATCCCAAATGGACGATTGTCTCGGAAAGTTGATAAGCATTTTCCCTAAAATTCCTTTTCCTCAACTCTTTCTTTCCTCCTTCCCTAGCTTTTCCCGTGATATTTGAATCCACGAACAATTTGGGATTCAAAAAAGACTATCTCAGTCATTTTGTATGAAACACATATTTGTCAGTTATCAGTTAAAAGTTCTATTCATTGTTTGACATTAGTATTATGACTTTTCTTGTCTAATTGCAAGCTTGCTCTTTCATATCATCAATTTGTAAAAACGGCATTATGTTATTTTATATAATACATTTTATTGCCTCTTATTGAGACTATTTAAAAGTAAGGAGCAAATTGCTACAACTTAACTAGAATCACATGAGATGCGCATTTTCCCTCTTCAATGCAAGGAATATATATAATTACTACAAACTGGTATGAGAAAATTTGTTCATATTTTTTAGAAGCATATAAGACATAAAACTGAATTGCACTTTTTCTGTGTCGCCAGGTTATGATTTTCCAACTTCACTATTTTTCTTTAGTTTAGAAGGAAATGGAAAAGAAACATCAAATCACTTTCAATCTTAAATGTTTACGCATGTTGAAACTATAATGTTGTTGTGAAACCCAAGCAATATAATGAAAATCATTACAAAAGTTGTTTAAGTGGAATGTGTTAATTTTAGGATGATAGTCAGAGTACTTTCTAGTGGCTTGATCTCTGTAGTTGGATACATTATATTTAGTATCCTCTTTAACTTGTCAGCTTCTTATTATTTTTGCTACTTTGTACCAATTTATTTTAGTTGTTCTTATTCCTTTTATTTAACTACAATTAGTTTGATCCTTGTGGCCGAGGTGCGTAAATAGTTGGATTTAGCCTTTTACCATAGAAGATTCAATCTCCTGGAATTTTTATTTTAATAAGAAATGGAAATCACTTTTGAGAAAAAAAAGATAAGTGGAACTAAGGCTATAATTGAGCAGAGTCGAATCAAGTATGCCATGGATTGAACATGACTTGGTTGAATCATAAGTTATTCATATCCAATTCGAGTTTTATTCGAGCTTTCACATATATGTTCATATTTCTCTTGTTTAAATTTTTTTTTATGATCATACTTGATTTGTACTTGATTTGTTTATATTAATTGAACAAATTAAAAATTTGAATAAGTACTTTTTTTTATATAAAATTAAAATTTTGAATCTTGCTTAATGGGTGCATGATTTTTTATATAAGGTTATTAAAAGCTTATTTTACTCATCTAAAAAAAAAAGCAACAACAACACTTTATCCCACTAAGTGGGGCCGGCTACATGAATCATTTTCTCCATTGCGTCCTATTATTGAGTGTCATATTTTCATTCAATCTAATAAATTAAGATCATTTTTTATAAAATTTGCCCATCTTTCTAGGTCTACCTATTCCTTTTTTAACATAAGTCAAATCTAAAACGTCTACTCTCCTAATCGAATTTTAAAAAATAAGCAACTGAACAAATTTTAAATTTGCATCTAACTAATTTATATTAAGTAAATAAAATAATATATAAGTTATAAGTAAACTTTCTTACACACAAATAATATAAGCATTAACAAACTAGTTTGTTGAAATAAAAATATAAGAAGAAATTGCATTAAATTTATACTCATATTAATATTAAATTATAATAAATTATTATCAAATATATAGTTAAATAAGTTTTAGTTAATCAAATTTTATTTAAATAAATTATCATATTAAGTATAGAGTATTGAATAAGCTACTTGTTTTTGTTGATATTTTGCCTCCTGCCTCTTTGTCACTTTTGCTTAAGGGGAATTTGCTTAAACTCTCATATATCTATTCCATTTCTTCTGTTTTGTAGCTTTCTTTATTAATTCAATGTTATGATTTTAAGAAAAAGAGAGTTAGACTATGTTCAAATTTAGTTTGCTTAACTTTTAAAATAATTTTAAATCAGTTTATTTACTAATTTGAACAAATGATCGGGTAGTAATTAAGCCGAGTTCGAGTTGTTCATCCAGTGCATTGGTTCATTTGTAGCCCTAAGTGAAGCGAGTTACTGGAATCTCCAAATACTGTTATGATTGATATCGTTATCAATGTTGTCCTTCCATAGGTATCATATTCAATAAACTCTTACAAATTACAATCTAGAATGAAGCATTTAGCTCTATAATTATACCTCTTAACCATGTTTTTTAACTGGCACAATCTGATGTAAAACCCATTCCTGTAAATGCCATTTCTCGATCATATGCTTTTCTTAAAGATGAATAAAGTGGGACAATATTATCTTCTGTTAAGATTATTTCTGCTGGAAGTTTCATTATCATAATCTGATGGCTGCTGTGCCCTGGTCTGTTTGTTACTTGATCCTGTTACTCTTCCTCTATACAATGCAACATTAGGATGAAGGCCAGACAGACATCGGCAAGCCAAGTTATGATTACTGCCCATAAAGCATTGACACTCTCGAATGGGCTGCCTCATTGTGTTAAACGCTTTATTGGGTAGTATGAGTCATGTGTGTGGACATTGCTTTTAATTGTCATACTTTGAGGACGACAAATTTTACTATCCTGTTTCGAAAAGTCCCAAAGAGTAATCTTGAGCCCTACTAACTTCACAATAATAGCTCCTAATATGTGATCCCAATACTGCTTTGGTCTTTATAATAGTTTCACTATTCCAAAGACTATTCTTTCTCTTTAGTAGTCAACAGTAGTATTTTAAAACATCACAGCTTTAGCATGTTCTCTGGTGATCTTGGTTCCATTCCTATGTGCTGAGTTGATCCATGTTTTTTGAAATGTCAAAGAGTTTTCCGAAGCTTTCTATTACTTTAGCCTAACACATTGAATTTCTGTCTGAAAGGTCTGTGATGTTTTCGTTCTACACTTTATTTTGTGAACATGAGTTTTTTACTTTTATAGCAGCAGTCATCATGTCAAGTTTGGAAGAGCCAATCGGTCTTGACAACTACTCAGCATGCAATGGTGCTGGCTGGCTTCGAAGATTTAGTTCCAATGCTTGCCGACCCAGATCAGATCACACTGAAATGGAAAACTGTTTGATTGAGTCCAGAGAGTGCACTTCTTCGAACAGCTGCAAGTAAGTTGTGGTCATGATATATAACTGTTAATAAAGTTTTTTTCCTTTAAACTAATCTTATATTTTCCATAATAGCTGATGGGTCAAGCTATAATGAAGGTTGATCTCTACGTTTTATTTAACTTGCTCTCTTTAATGCATCAGCTAGTTGATACTACATCATATTTCCTTTTCTATTTCTTATATGCTTCCTTGATCCTTGCAGTGAAGAATATGCTCGGCATAGAAAATCAAATGACAGGTTTACCCAAAACTCCTTAATGTCAAGGACCACAAGTCTTGGCAGGAGGAGGGTCCTAAATGGAGTTTGTGATGCATGGTGTTTGCAAGATCATTGCTGTAGGTTGCCCAGGAATGGCATTGAAATAAGAGATCTAGTAGATAAGGTACCCAAAAGCTTTACCGTACTCTCAAGTACCATACTAATATTGGACATCCAAAAGATTTTCAGTATTTCCATGCACCACACTAATATTCAACATTGATAATACTAACTGTGGAATCTTTTTTGTGTCACAAAAAGTAACAGTTAATGAATCAAATTATCATTTCAGGTTAGCAAGATTTATTCCTTCATAATTGGACCAACTTTGTTTTTCATACGGGCAACCATTCGCTTTTATTCTAATTATATAAATACAGTTTGAATGTGTGTTTTCACAGTCATTTATTTCCCTCAATAAATGTCTAATTAGAACCACCGATGATGCTTTTTAAGAAGCTCTAATGATATCTTTCCTTAGGTTTATGGTGCATATGTTATATTATAAACTTATGACGCTAGTTTCTCTTTACAGATCGACGCAACTAATTTCAGTAACAAAATACCTTGATTAAGCATTGTTCTTAATCAATAAAATTAAATATTTTCATTTATTTAATATCAAATTTCCAACACATTGTCATGTAAATGATCAAAATGAATCAAACCAAAGAGAAAGAATGAAAAATATTCATATTTAAGGGAATAGTAGAATAAGAAAATGAATATCATAATTCTTTTATGGTTACAGTGAACATGACAGACATGAGTGTCAACCAACTAAATCATAATTCTTATATGAATGTACTTCAGATTTTCAGGAGCATGCCAAGTTATGTAAAGATAGTGGAGGTTGGGCCTAGAGATGGTTTACAGAATGAGAAGACTATCATTCCTACAAAAGTGAAAATTGACCTGATACAGAGATTGGCAACAACTGGATTATCGGTTGTCGAGGCTACAAGTTTTGTTTCGCCTAAGTGGGTACCCCAGGTAAAAACATTATTTAGGTATGCCAACTGTTTGTTTACTTTGTTATGAAGCACCTATACTTGTCGGTCATCATACATGTATCCAATGTTTATTAATTATAAATATGATTGATTATCACATTGGGATCTGTCAATTAGCATTTTGTTAAGAGACAAGTAACACTTTACTAGATAAGCCTTATGGCATTTCTCATTTAAATTTTTAAGGAATTTACAAACCATGTATTCATAGCCTGTACGACTGGTTTTCACATGACTCATATTTGAACTGTAAAGCATTAATGGTTTAGAGTGTCAAATGTTTTGATTCAGGATGTGTCTATGTTGTAACAATACATTTGTGAGATGTAGCTAAAACCGAAAGCATTATGATGCCTTCGTTAAGTCTTATACACAGTTTGTCATATTATTTCTTCTACCTACGTTAAAGTCGCCGAGTTACCATAAATGCTCGATTTTTCTCACTATAAGAACTTATTTCCGTTAATGCTTTTGGAGTTGCTTATAATTAAATTTTACTTTGAGTATAAATATGCTAGATGTGATTTCAAGAGAAGTTCCTGCACTACATGTTTTGTACAATGTTGTTTGTTGGGGCTGGGGAGTTTTCTGAGGCAGATAATATCAGGATAAACTCAATAGCATGTGTTTCCGTGTTGCTCTAGCTGCAGTGCTCTTTCCGTACACAGGGGATCTAAACAAAAATACCTTGGAAATCTGCTGGGACTTCATTTGAGGGAAAGTGTGGCGTGAAATGTGGTTGCAGCGTTGTTTTGTAACTTTATAGCTGAAGCAGAAAAACAGTTGATGTTGCCACTTGTTGCCTTATTGTTTGCTATGCTGGAATTTCGTTTATCATTTTCTTTTTAATTTTATTAAATGGACAATTCATCTATTTATGTAGGAAAATATAAAAATTATTTATATTATTACGTGGCTTTCACCTTTAACTGATCAAAACTAGACTACTGCACCTGAGGAAATCTTGCTATCTTTTTATGCTTCACTAATGAGCTTAGAGGAAGGATGGCTAGATTGCAAGTGGGAAGAATTTTTCTTAACTATGTGTTGATCTCATATTTAGTGAGGTCTAGTTTTCTTCTTAGAGTTTAGGATCTAGCCTTAGGGTTCTTCCTTGACTATCTTAGAGCCTTAGAAATGGGACCCACCTCATTTTAGAAATTAAACCTACTTATTTACACTTTTGGAGTTTCGAATGTGTGGTCTCGGCCTCTAGCATTTAGGAGGTTGAAACCAACATGAGGAAACCCAAAAGGAGTCCTTATGGAATCATTAAGTTCTAGGATTAGGGCTGGGATTGGGGTTGAAAAGGAGCCGAGCCTGAGCGAGCTCAGGCTGGCTCGTGTTCGAAATGGCTCGTGAACAGTGTGTTCGTGTTTGACTCGAATCACATTTTTCTGTTCGTGTTCGCGAATCCCATTTTTCTGTTCGTGTTCGGCTCGAAATTGGCTCGTTATAATATAAAATTATTATAATTGTAAAAAAAATATTTTAAAAATAATAATTTTATTTTAAACTTTTCAAGAACAAATTTCCTTGAAAAGTTTAAGAGATTTATTAACTAAAAAATGATAACATAAAAAAAATTTACAAGAGAAAAAACTTACAAAATAAGAACCGATTTATTATAATTTTTAAAATGTACAAACTAAACAAGAATACAAAAAATAATAAAATCTCAAAATATAAATCAAAATCTAAGAAATAATTGTATTGAACATTTTATTCTTCTTATGCTTTATATACAACTCAAACTACTAAAATTAATTTCTGTAAATCAGAATGACAACACTCTGCTGGAAAACAGCTCAAGTTCTCAGAAGGTCTATAGCCAATATTGATTCTTGCACCCTGTGGATATTACAATAACATCTTTTTCAGCTGGTCTTGATTCAGGATTCTGCCCGGTCTTGATTCTGTCGAATTGACAGCCCTAATCAAATGGTCAACTCTGTAATTTAGAAAAGAATGCAATGATTAATTTTATAAATAAAAAAAAAGTTTGCGTGAAAAGGCATTCAACATATAAGAAAGTATTTCAACTGTTATAATAAGCTGGAGCAGATATAACATTCTAGATTGGCTGCTGTGTCTAATGAAATTCATATGTGCATTCTCAAGCTGCTCGTCATCAATATTAAATTAAATTAATATTTTTTGATGGGGTAATTCGCGTGCATTCTGATGACTTCTAGGCCTAGTGTTTATTTAAAAAACAAGAGGCATTTACACGTATACCACTCACTTCCTACGTATTTACATGTCTAGCACCTAAATTTTGCTTTTTTATGTTTATAACGATGTAATATTTTAATTTTTAAAAGTGGTATATAAAGAGAAATGGAAGGTTAGGTGGTAGATATGTAAAATCATGAGAAACAGGCTTACAGGAACTAAAGTATCATAAACCCTTGATTACTTGAAGAAATCTTCAGTATAGGAACAACTTTATTAAAGCAAAGAAGTAATGAACAAATTAACTGTTCTGAACGAACATAAAGAATAATATGTTTGAGCTAAAATTATTGAATCTTTTGTGTTCTGCATTTTCCTACGTCTCAATTAATGCAATATACAATCTACAAACTGATCATGATTCAATATACTAAATAAAAAGGTAATAGCATCCTATATATTATTGCAATCAAATATATTTTTTTCAATCAATCAAAGTCACGAGGCGAACTACTGTTCATTAATAGCATGCTAAAAGTATTCACTAATATTTTGTATGATCTGTATTTAATTATCCAAAAAAGAAAAAAAAAAAACTCACATTTCTATTGCCGAGCAATCTCTTCACGATAATATGGTTGCATTATCCAGAATATCATTTCAAAGGTAATCTAAATCCTCTGTTATTCCCACCTGACAAAATTATGCAAACAATTAGAAATTGAAAGATATGGGCAATTTACATACATACCCCAATTCCTATGTTTTTACATGTCTAGAACCTAAAGTTTATTTATTTTTTTAACATTTATATCATCCAAATCCTTCATACAGACCACCTGAAACCTGCTATTCACGATTAAACCTGCTATTTATATCATTTGGAGGGTTAAGCATTACTCTAAACTGAATATAAACCACACATGCCAACCAATTTTTATATATTTATATTATATATCTAACACCTAGACTAATTTTTGAGAGAAAATAAGTGATAAGAACATAAAATGAAAAGTTTAAGAAAAGCTAAAAACTAATTGTTGAGAGAAAATTACCAAAGGAGTTTTAAAACTACTTGTAGAAGATCTAATCCAGCTAGAAGTGCATATTAATGCATTCACCGTATTTACCGAGAGCGAACTTCTATAATCACTAAAAACTCTTCCACTGGTACTAAATGATAATTTCGAAGCAACTGTTGTTGGAGGATGATTCAAATTGTGAAAGATCAAGTTCAGACATATTTGCACTGTAAATGAAATCAAAAACTCATAATTAGTATCACTTTAGACATACTACCAAGTCAAAAATGCATAAACACACTTCAAATAATAGCTAGTAATAACATCATGTATAGTCTCCTTAAATTTTTCCTCTTTTGTTTTTCTCCATGATGAAAGAAGGATGCATAAAGAATTGACATTAAGAATGGAGAAAGAGAGTTGGCACATATAAGGAAAAGCCTTCAAGCCAATGAGCATAAAATAAGAAAAGCTTACTATTGGCATTCACATGAAACATAATACACCTTATTAGATGAGCACTTATATAGAGTTGAAGTTTAATACTCATCTCATTCAAGTTGTTATCTGCAAAGCCTTTAAACACCACCATTCACATGAAACGTAATACTCATCTCATTCAAGTTGTTGTCTTATTTTCTAAAATTTGAATTCTAGCTTGTTCAAGTTTAATTTTTGCTTTGACTTGCCAAAAATTCATGAACTCTATTGTTTATTCTTATTAAGGCTTTCATGATAATCATATCCTCTTGGCACATATTGTTCAAGATTTTGACATACTGTATCATAAGTTTATTACCTTGTTTGATACCAATAAACTTCATCTTGATCGTATATATTTATGCAACATTTTTTTGGTTTTGAATATGTTTGCAGTGCCCCAAATTTCTTTTGTGATTATTTACATGTGATTCTAGGCAGAGAGGTGAACTGGATATTTAAAAAACTTACATGTTAGATCATATTTCCACAAACCTTACATGTGCCCCAAATTTCTTTTGTGATGATTTACATGTGATTCTAGACAGAGATGTGAACTGGATATTTTAAAAACTTACATGTTAGATCATATTTCACAAAACTTACATGTGCCCCAAATTTCTTTTGTGATGATTTAAAATATAATAAGTGTGATGTTTTGACTTCGAGTGTTACATCATATAATACCTTGCTAGCATATGCACTACTTATTGCTTCAACAAAAAATATATATTCCCACATTGGAAATGAAACCGTGATATAAAGACATTGACTTTTGACCATAAATTAGCAACAATAATAAAGATAAAAAAAGCAAAGAACAATTGGAATTCACACATCAATAGAAACACAAATTATAGTAATTTTGGCTAAACAGATTTAAACTCTCAAAACAATAACAAAAACATGATTCATGCATTTACAAGATAAGCCACTAATAAGTAATGTGAGAAAGAATTGGATGTCAAAGTTGGAAATAAGTTGGTATTCACATGAAAATTCTATTTAGCCGCTGATAATTATTGTAAATGCCACATTCTCTTATTTTTAATTACAAGACCAATTAAAATTCTCTTTCATAAACTAAAAAAGATCCATGAAAGTACTACAAAACGGAGAAAACATGTATGTAACATAAATTAAAATTCCCTTTCATAACTAAAAAAGACCCTAAAAAGTAACATATTAACAAAAGAATTGCAAATAAACAAAAAAGCTGAAACATGAATGTAATAAAATGGAGGAAACATGTAAGTTTTTTGAAAGATAAACTCAAAAGAGATTAGCAGTTTAGTAACAATAA